AAAGCAATCAGACAAATACTTAAACAAACTTAAAAATAAATAATTTGTTTAGGGAATTGTTGAGTAAAGAAAGTTGATTTTAATAATTAAAACAGTAATAAAAATACTAGAGTATCATGTACTCTCTCTTAATTCCATACAATAATGATTAAAAATTCAAAACTTAACTTGAAACAAGAATCAGATGTTGGTTGATTCGAGTAACAAATCAAGTAAGAAAACCAAAAGTTATAATCAAAAGATTATTCAGGAACTTGAATAATCATCCAATTATATTATTTTACAAAATAATGATAAAAACCTCAAGCGTGGAATAACCAATTATTTACTCACAGGGAAATTCAAGCAATCGATATACATGACACAACAACTCAAGGATTTTTACAGAATAAAAACTTTGCTATAAAATTAGAAGTTAAATTAACAAAATATCATAAATCATTAAGCACAAAGTCAATAATAATACCGTACTTTATTAAGAGGTTCTTCCCTAACCCTAGCGTAGCCTTCTAACCAAACATTACAAACTAAAATAAAAAATAAAAAGATGGAAAAAGGAATAGAATCTAAATCCTAGATGAGAACCCTATTTATACTAAAAATAAATTCTAGATATAGGTAGGATATCTAAAGTTGGTTTGGAAGGAATTTTTTCCCAAAAAGAAGTCTTATAAGGTTAAATTTCGTGCATAAAATCTTTAGGCGCAGGTACAAAATTTGTCCATACTTTGAGCTTGAATTTCACNAATCCTAGATGAGAACCCTATTTATACTAAAAATAAATTCTAGATATAGGTAGGATATCTAAAGTTGGTTTGGAAGGAATTCCTTCCCAAAAAGAAGTCTTATAAGGTTAAATTTTGTGCATAAAATCTTTAGGCGCAGGTACAAAATTTGTCCATACTTTGAGCTTGAATTTCGCATATTTAAAGGTTGAATCACGAAAATTTTGTGAAATACACTTTTGTAGCCCTTGAAGTCTTCTTTCCAACCTACAAAAATCAAGTAAATCGGATATCAGAGTCAAAAGTAATAACCAAAATACTGAATATGTGTCAAATCCTTATCTTCTATGATACTTTCCTAATCCAACTCTAAATGAGTTTTCTTTCAACTTGGACTCTTATAAGGATTAAATTGCTGTCATATCTTCAAGTATTCATATTTCAATCTTGACTCTTCAATCATTATCAATTATGATTCTTCTTCTAGTGATTGATTCACTTACACTATTCATTATTATTTTAAATCAACCAATTTACCTGCAAAATAAATCAACCAACTAGAAAAAGTATCAAACTAAAAAATTAATGAATTTAACACATTTAATTACGAATAATATGCAATTAATCAATCATTAAATATAATTAAATAATAATTTTGATTGTTAATCAAGGACCAAAGTAACACAGATTGAAAACTTTAGGAACCAAATTGACAAAATTGATATAATGAGGACTAAACTGATAAAAAAAAATATACCCCGAAAATTAATCTTTTGGAGACGAATTAATTGAACCTTTTGTTTGATTCTGGCATTTTGCATTCTTAGAGCAACTCCAAAAGGAGTTGTCATTTTGGGGTGCTAAATCACTAATTTGCAACTTTAAACAGTGTTTTGATATCTCTGAATTATAAATCTGCTCTAATAGCAGGTGCTAAAATGGGGTGTCATTTTAATATTTTTTATTGTTGCTAAAATATTTTAATGGATATAGTTTATTAAAAAATATAATTAAACTCATTTACAACCTCTCTCTTTCTCTTTCCAGAGTTGTCAAAATTGTCACCCCAAAAACATTGATGTTATTTTTCAACTCTTGATGACACCCTCATTGGAGTGAAAAATTTTGAATTTAGGGTGATATTTTAACAATTATGAAATTGCCATCTCTGATGACACTCCCCTTGGAATTGCTCTTATACTCAGAATGTGCGTTTGACAGGTGATAAAGACAAGGACCCAATGTAGATGAATGTAAACCCGAAGAAATAATAAGGTCTATATACTATTTTAAAATGTCAATAAAGTGAAAAACTTTCGATTGACTATAAAACCCTTAACAAATTATAAAATACTTTGTCGTGACTTTTATTATTCCTCCAAACATGAACTCGTCTTCGGTGGGAATTGTTTCATGTTCTTGTGTTCAATGCACTATTTTTCATAAATGTATCCATGACTATTTCTTAATGTCTTCACCACTATTTCTTAGACCGTTCACCTTCTCACCATAACATCTCTTATAGTTGTCATGTATTGCATATCTTAATCTCGTTTCATGAATAAAACAATTGAAACGACATTTGGGTGGCGCGTTTTTGTTTCTAAATTCTGTGAATTATCCTCTCTCTCTTTCCTCTATACCGACCAGTTTATTTCTAATTTTCCCACTTTCTGTGCATGCTTGCGTATATGTGTGTAGGCACAAGAGTGGGGTTGCTCATTTTGATTGTAAAGGACACCAGCCATCCAAGATTGACGGGCAGCAGCGAAGATGTAGTAGCGTGAATCTGACACGAGGTATGTCAATCTACATCTTACTCATTTGTATGTTGTTGTTGATATCAGGATTCACATTGTTTGGGCTTGATCTATGAATTGAAGAGGAGATCTAAACATCTTAACTTTGTGCACTGGCTTGTTGGGTTGGCATTGATCAATAAGTTTCATAGTTGGTTAGTCTTTGGGCAGATGAATCTAAATTAGTATGTCTGTCTGGTTTAGGAAAAGGGTATTGTTTGACAGTTGATTATTGAGCAATTTCTGGGAAATAGATTTGGATAATTCTAAGCACAATAAAGAAACAGGATCCATGTAATTGACTCCAAAAATATTGAGACAATACTTTGTTGAGTTGATTTTTTAAAATCTGTTACTGATAATTAACCAAATTTTGGGTTTGCATTTTGATAATTGTGATACTATATCGAATCTGTTAGCTAATATTGACCGATTTTCGTGATTTTGATTTTTATATGTTTGATCGTGTAATGAATCTGTTATCATATTATTTTACTGTAATATGTTGTCAGGCAACGGGACTGATGATTGCCAAGATTAGAGTGTGACAAAGGTGATGAGATGGACAACAAACCATTCCAACTGCATGCACCTGAATAATAAAGCAAATATGGAAATTTTGTTTATATTCATGAAAATACTCTTGTCCTCCTCTGTTGTGAGTCTTGTGACAGCATACGTCCAATTGCTATTTGGGTAGGAAATTGGAATCCCAAATTCCCAATAGGATGATCAATGGCAGTATTGTTTTTCAAATGTGCATGTCTTTGATACTTTTGCTTGTTTGAGTAGTGAAAGAATAGTTCACTATAAGAAAAGTAGTAAGATTACGAGAAAAAATCATTTATTATTATTATTATTATGTTATTTGACTCAATTTATTAATTGGGTTGAATTGAACGTTGTGATCTTCTATATCTTAATGTTTTTTTCATTGAAGGAAAACTTTATTATTTTTTTCATTTTACTCTTAGTTCACAAGTGCCATTTGTGCCTTTGAATTTAGATTCATGCTTGACATAGAGTGTCATCATATTTATTCATATTGCTGAAACATCATATGCTGTCACATAGCAGATTGGATCTCCCAAGAATAAATGCCAAAAAAAAAGAGGAATCAAACATTTGAAGATGAGTTCTTGCATTGCCTGAAAAACTTTTGAAATCCATTTTTACCATTAAAAAATGCCAAATGGCAACATTATCTACCATTTACTAACTCTATTAATATTAATCATAACATATTAATAGATTCTCCATCTTTTATTTTTCTAACATGCATAAGCTGGGCTATTATTTTTATTCAATCACCTAAATTTAAAAGAGTAATGCTACATAAACTTAAAAAGTAGACTTAAAAAATAGACTTGATAATCTCAACCATTGATTTCACTGTGGGTCCCAGTATTTATTGAGACCCACTACCTATTCAATAGTTAAAATTATCAAGTCTAATTTTTAAATATATCTAGCATTACTCGCTTCAAAATGATTGTCACTTTGTTTCAAGAAAAATTTTGCTATGCTCGCATCCATTAAGTACCTACTCAAATTTTTTTGGAAACCTTTTCTTTGTGCTGTTGTATGTAAAATATAGAAAGATTTAAATCATGCCATTTTGTTAATTTTTCATTTATAGTCTCTTTCCGTTTGGTTAGGTGAAAAATTGTTAGAAAATGAAATAAAATAAACTCTTATGTGCATATATGCACATTTATAAATATTACCTCCACTCATCAATCATGGGTTCATAGTAGTAAGCGTGATACATTTCCTTATGACATTTTTGTTATGCTATTCTGTGAAAACAGACAAGACTTATTTTCTTTTGGGATTCTCCTTTGATTTTAATACTTGTGTTATTGTTCTTCATTTTTTTTTTTTTATAAAATGCTTAATTTGTTCATTCGGCATGGTTGATGCTTTATGGTTGCAATGTGGAATTGGATGATATAGCATGACAATAGACTATGGATCTCATGAAAATGTTCTTCAGAGAGGGTGGCAGTTCGACAAGGGACAACAGTGGTGCACAAGAAGAGAGTTTAAAATTAAAATTGAGACCATATATGCTTTGTTAGTAGTTTCATTATTGTATTAATGATTTGTTTAAAGGCCTTTTCATCTCACCGTTCTGCAGTAAAATTCAGTGTGAAAGGAATATGGATCTGTTGGTGTGATTAGGTATTGTAATTTTTAGGGAGTGCAATTGTAATAGTCCCTAATAAAAAATCTCTCCCCCCTCCCCCCAAAAAAAATTCATAAATAAGGATATATATAAATAAATAACAAAAATATAAAATATAATGCAAAATAGTATACATGCAACAACTAATAAACTAAAAAGTCTCGCGATGGATTTACTGTTAACAATTACGGAAATACTGTATTCATTATCAGCATTAAACCAAAAGAAGACTTTCTCTTGTTGTGGATTTCCAGATTAACAGTTTATGATGACTAAAGATGAAGCTGTTTAGGTTGCAGCATAGTTGTTGATAAAAGCTAAGGCAATGCTAGTCAATTGCTCAATCTCCCCAACGTGACTGAGGACTATAGTTTTGACCTGCCCGTTCATGGCGTTCCCTTCAAAGCCATCCGTGCACGTATCATCGTCTGTCAAAGCAGCACTCGTCCATGTTTCAATGTCACTCATTAGAAGCTTAAAGTTGGAGCCACCACTATCGGCCTTAGCCATCTCCTTCATAGACCCCTGGAGCTCGTACACGGAGTCACTCAATTCCTCAACACAATCAAGAAGGGCTGCTTTCTCTGTTGGATTCAAGCCTGAAGTGTTTGAAAGATTTTCAATCATCGACGAGGTTGATCGAGTAGCTGAAAGGGCAATGGAGAGGGAAGTGTTTGCCAAGAGTTTAGGGCTGGTTTGGATTTTATCTGCATATGGTGAGAGGTATTGGAAACAAAGTTGAGGGTACAAGGTGGTGTCACATGAAATTTTAATATAATCCTTGTTGTTTGCACTAGTAGCAATTGGATTGGTGGCCAAGCATGAGCACCAGTAGTTAGAAAACAGAAGGAGAATGAATAAAAAGGTTTGTGCATGACAAAGTGAAGCTCCCATCTCTCTCTCTCTCTCTCTCTCTCTCTCTCTAAGATTGATTAGAGAAATTGGGAAGATTGAGGAAATTAATTAAGGATGTGAAATTTATAGAAAAATTTCATAATGGTCGAACCATAAAATAATATATATGTCTCCATTATAGTGATGAACCAATTTGTCTTTGTAGCATCCAAGATAGGACAAGAGTGCAAAGTTGATTGATTAATAATCTAATAGTAAAGAAAAACAACATTGACATTTATATTTTTAATGTTATTAATTTGCACGGGTCTTTTCCTGCAATAATTGGAGATAGTTTATTCTAGGGCGAGTTGAATAAGAGTCCTGAAACAATGAACAATGTCGGAAAGGAGTCAAAAATGAACATGGCTTCCCTTCCAAAATTTAAGTCGGTGTTCAAGATTGAGAATATAAGTCTACAGTGCAATGTTAGTTCAGCATGCATGTCTATGCTCTGCTTCATTGGTGTATTTATGCTTTCGAGTATGATGATGTAACAGTCACTCGAGTACCAAGCCTAACTCTAGCAACCAGGGCGGAGCCAAAAATTTTATTCAGAGTAGACACTTTAATTATGTATTTTAATTTTTTTTCCTTATAATCAATTACACTATATAACATATTTATATTTATTATATTATATTTGATATATAAAGTTCANCGAGTATGATGATGTAACAGTCACTCGAGTACCAAACCTAACTCTAGCGACCAGGGCGGAGCCAAAAATTTTATTCAGGGTGGACACTTTAATTATGTATTCTAATTTTTTTTCCTTCTAATCAATTACACTATATAACATATTTATATTTATTATATTATATTTGACATATAAAGTTCATTTAACATAAAAAATTCAAAAAAAAAAGTATATTGTTAAGGGCGGAACCATGAATATCTATGATAGGGGCAAAATATAATTGGTATAAAAAAATTTAAGCCGAAATTAATACAAAAAAATTCAATTCAAGAATAAAAAAAAGGTACGAATCAACNCAAAAAAAAAAAGTATATTGTTAAGGGCGGAACCATGAATATCTATGATAGGGGCAAAATATAATTGGTATAAAAAAATTTAAGCCGAAATTAATACAAAAAAATTCAATTCAAGAATAAAAAAAAGGTACGAATCAACACTAAATTGTTGTGAAATAGTAAATTCAATTTTTATTTAACCGAAACAAAATCTTAACAAAAAGACACAAAATAATTTTTTTAGTACATTTTAACCTAATTATATATTTCAATAAAATGTAAAAAATTTTAAAATCTTTAAAATTTTGTATATGAATGAAATGTAAATTAATTTTCGTATTTTATTAGGTTATAGACTACTATTACTAAAAAAATGGTAAATAAAAATTAAAAATTATTCTTAAAAAATAACGAACGTTGTGTNTTTTTTAAAATCTTTAAAATTTTGTATATGAATGAAATGTAAATTAATTTTCGTATTATATTAGGTTATAGACTACTATTACTAAAAAAATGGTAAATAAAAATTAAAAATTATTCTTAAAAAATAACGAACGTTGTGTTAGATAAAGAGAAATATTGTATTTTCGTCAATATACAAATAAAACGTTGACTCAATCCAAAACTAACATATTTATTTTAGAAGGTTAGTAGTCCACTAGTTTATTAAAAAAAAAAAAAAGACTAGAACCATTATTAAAATTTTTAAAAATTTAGGAGGTAAATATAATGTATAAAATAATTTTATAGGTTGGTGCAAGGGAGGACAAAAATACTCAAGGAAGTGAGTTTCTCATGTGTTGAGTTTTTCTCTATTTTTTCTCTTTTCCTTGTGGCTGGGTAGTGGGCGGTGGACAGTTAGGAGTGAGTGATACAGAGAAAAAAAAAAGATAAAATAGGTTTGAGTCAAGTGGGTCAAAAGTTTTATTTTTTAATGATGGTGGGCCAAAAATTTTGTTTTTAATGTTGGGCTAAAAATTTTATTTTTTAATATGTGTGGATTGTGATAAGTCAAATATTTGATTTTTTTTAATAAGTTCAGATAGATAATAATTAGTTTAATTTTTTTTGTTTTAAATGGACTTAATTATTTAATTATTTTAGATAAATAATGTAGGTCTAATATAAATAAGGGAACACACATAATATATATATATAATACATATATTTAACTAATAAAAAAAAAACACTGAGGGGGGTCACGTGTCCACTCTGACTCTTCCCACCCTCTCTCCGCCTATGCTGCCAACCTATAATCATTGAGCCACGTAACAAGTATTTTTCCATCACATCTCATTAATACTCAAAACTAGGATAGTTAGATTAAATGCTCAGAATAAGCCGAGCATTAATAGGCTCGAGCCCCATAGACACCAGTAGAGTATTCGAGGCGACATATCAAGCATTTAATTAAAAACCCTCGAGGGCTATCTGATTACATTAAGAGTCATGTCTTGTCCTTTGTGATGTTACATTAACAAGACGACGATAATGATCAACGTAATGCACAAAGCCAACACCCAGATAACAACTAATTCTTGGGAAGGGCTATGCACATGTTCGCCGCCTTGCGGGTCAGACTTACTTGGTCTGAGATGTTTGTTGCTCGGTCTTGATCCTTGGAAGTTCTGGGGATGCACTTTGCTAGCTGCAATCAGTCATGTCATGCATCAACTTATGACTGGCAGGCCACCCCCATGTCCCGTCATTATTCTTCATAAAAAATTTAAACAACTCGAAAATCTATTTAACACATAAAAAAATAGAGAGTGAAATAGATTAATTTATTTTAGAAAAATAAAAATAAAAACATAATATATATATATAAGGCATAAAAATCATTATGACATGTTTTTACATTAAAAAAAATAGATTTTTGATCTTAGATTATTTATTTTTATGGAAATTACAAACCGAATTTGATCAAGATTATGTTTAGATATTTAAAATTAAAAAAAAAATGTATTATCCTAGCTCATGTTTAGATATTTAATTAAATTCCTTGTCTCATATTAGAACATATAAATATAATATTAGTGTTAATGATTATCGATTAGTGTTTTGTTTTGGCTGGTAATGATTATTGATTAGTTAATTAAACAGGACAAATGTTATATCAGCATCAGATTGCTACTAATTAATCATGAATCAGACATGAGACAATCGTGCACGTAACTTGTTGGATTGTTAGTTTATATAACCTCTCTCTTTCATCCCATCTTTTTCAAGGATCAGAGGTTGTATCTGAGTGAGGCCTTTTCTTGTGACACAATTGCTGCCAATCTTTTAATGTTCACTTTAATTTATTTAACTCTCTTTTATCTGTTTTTATTTTTTTTAAAGTTCAAAGGTATTTAAGTCAATTTATATATATCTTAACTAATTTCTTCTCCAGACAAATTACGAGTATTTGTGTTATNGTTTTTTTAAACTTCAAAGGTATTTAAGTTAATTTATATATATCTCAACTAATTTCTTCTCCAGACAAATTATGAGTATTTGTGTTATTATTTAGTCTAATAAAACCCAAATCAATGTAATTGCAGGTAAACCCAAAACACTAGCGTTTGGTGAGTGGGGTTGGTGTATGTGAAACTAAAATGTCTCTAGACCTATTGGTAAAAACAGGGATTCACTATTCTTATGCCCATTAAGATCATCTAACAAAAAATAAAATAAAATTTATTGTGGTGGATTTTCAAATTAACAGTTTATGCAGATTTCGATTTGTCGGATTAATAATCATGCATATATAAGCCTCGCTTTGTTACGCCTTCATATTTAGATGAACAAAGTTTGAAGATTATGGGAGAAATACACTTCGTAAAGTTCACATACTTCCATGCTTCACCAGCCAAAATTTAGCAACAACACTATAATTTGTACAAGTTCATTCCATAGTTTTTATACATCTATACTCAGACAAACCGATATATGCACTTATGTCTTTCTGTGTGTTCAGAAAAAAAAAAAACACTCGTGAAATTTGCATTAGAACACAAATAGCCCCTAATAGATGAAGCTGTTTAATTTGCAGCATAGTTGTTGATAAAAGCTAAGGCAATGCTTGTCAAATGCACAATCTTCAAAACACGACTCCGGACTAGAGTTTTGATTTGCCCGTTCATGGCGTTCCCCGAAAATCCATCCAAGCACGTATCATCATCTGTAAGAGCAGCACTCGTCCATGTTTGAATGTTACTCATTAGAAACTCAAAGTTGGAGCCACCACTATTAGCTTTCTCCATCTCCTTCATAGAGTTGTGGAGCTGATACACGGAATCGCTCACTTCCTCCACACAGTCGAGCATGGCTGCTTTCTCTCTCGGCTTCAAGCCCTGAGTTTTCGAAATATTTTTCATCATCAAGGAGGTTGATCGAGTGGCTGAAAGGGCGACGGAGAGGGAAGTGTTTGCTAAGAGTTTGGGGCTGGTTTGGATTTTGTTTGCATATTTCGAGAGGGATTTGTAACACAGTAGAGGGTATAATGTGTTGTCACATGAAATTTGAATGAAATTTGTTTTGGGGATTGGCTCAGTGGCTAAACATGAACACCAGAGGGTAGAAAACTGAAGAAGAAAGATTAAACCTGTTTGTACATGTCTAAGTGATGAATCTCCCATCTCTCTCTCTCTCTCTCTCTCTCTCTCTCTGTGAAGGATGGGAATGGAATGGCCAAAATTTATTGGGAAATTTCATGATTGTGGCTCCTACAAAATCAAGTAAAAGTTAAAAAAATCTGGCTTGTAACGATAAACCAAACTGTCTTTATAGCAGCCATGACTAGGATGAAGATGTGTGTTCATGGAGATCGATAAGTATTATATAATTAATTCAAATTTTAATCTCACCTCGAACACAAGTGGAAGAAAAAAAGAAAAAATTGTAATAAAATTCACACATATATCGAGCAATGCTATAAGAATTTATAATTCGAGAACTTAATTTAATGTAATTATTAGATTAATTTTAAATTTTAAACTTTCAATATTACATAAAACTCACTTTGAATTCAATAATTATATTTAATTAAGTCTTCCATATTAAAGCTCCGAATTAGGTTTAAATAGGATTCGCTCGTTCATTTGATTTGTACAACGATTGACCTTTCCATAGTGCACGCAAAATCAGACGGATGATTGGTCCAAATAATATTCTCTCATCCATATCATGTGTATACAGATCGACCTTTCCACGTTGCACACGTAAAAAAAGCACATCACTTTATTTGAAATTTTATCAAAAAATCAGAAAGATGAAATGTCCAATCAAAGCTTTGCATCGACACATTTTTTTAGTTTATATTTAAAATTTACCGACACCTCTTACCGTTAAACCACTGCTTATAACAAAAATAAATTATCTTAAAATACTAAAATTATCTCTATATAAACTTTAAACAATTTTTTACATAAAATTCAATTAAAATTCGAATAGATTAAAATTTATTTTTCTACGTATTAAAATTCAAGCTGATTACATTTTTCTTACATATTAAAATTTGAGTCGAATAAAATTCGATTCGAATTGATTAAATTTAATTTTTTTTACGTATTAAAATTCAAACAAATTTGAGCTCTACTTAAGCTGTTAGCCTCAATTAAAATTTATTTTAAATTAATTAAAATTTATATTTTTTTTATGTATCAAAAATTGGGCAGATTAAAATTTAATGAGAGTTGATTAAAATTTAATTGAGCATCAAATAGAATTTTAATACATAAAATATAATTTTTAATTTACTCAAATTTTAATTAGTTCGAATCTAATTTTAATCGGTCCAAATTTTAATATGTAAAAAATTTTAAAAATAGAAAAGGTCTCATTGAAAATATGTTTATTTAAAGAGGATGTAAATGAAGTTTTTCTTAAAATATATTTTAGACAATTTAATAAAATTACATTCTAATTAACACTTTTAAAATGATATGGAATGCCAATGAAAACTCAAAAAATAGAAGAGATATTTTTGAAGATATAGTAATCTACTTAGTATCATATTGGTCTGATATTTAGCACCAATAATATTAGAAAGGTTAAAAATATATATAAAAAAATAATAATATTATTATTAGAAAGGTTGTTGATAAGATAGTTAAACGGGACAAGTATTATCATATATCAACATCTGATTTGATTGCTACTTAACGGGAAATACTCGTCCACGTAATTAATAACTTAATTGAATTATTTGCTAAAATGGGACCTCTGATTGGTTTCAACTCCAAACACCTCTCATCCGAGGGAGGCGTCATCTGGGGACCAAATTGGTGCCAAGACCCTTGACGCCCGTTGTGGTGGGTTAGTCTCAAATATTCGTTTTGTGTCATTTTCGTATTCATATACGTTTTGTGGTGGGTTAGGATGAATGGACAGATTCGAATAAAACCAAATAATGTGTACAACGAACGAGACTAAACCTGCTATCCCAATGCCTGGGGACGGGTTATTTGAGACAATCTGTGTATCATTTGTTAAATAAGAAAATGAAATAATATATTTTGAGTCGAAAAATTATCAATACGCTACATATTATATATTTTTGATCAATTTATTATAACAATAAATTATGGCCGAAGAAAAGAATAAAAATAAAAAATAAATATTAAATTAGTATGAAATTCAAATGAGATTGAACGATGAAAGGCGAGAGATGAGACACAGATTGAAATACCTAATTTTTTTTTGGAATTTATAGTGTCACGCTTGAAACGAATTTATAAGTTAAACACAAAACGTCTTCGTTTATTTCACGAGTCTGTCGAATTAACTCGTTAATTATCCGGATGCGTTAAGACTGCGCTTAAATCTATTAAATCTGTTAAGATTCGTGTCAATTTCAAGAGTAAACTGAGAGCCCTACGTGTCGTTCTACAATTGGGGAAGAGAAGGAGACGGTAGCAGGCAGGTACGGGTCCGGGTCATTTGGGTCCGGGTGTGTTTAATGTTTAGAAAAAGGGAATTAAAAAAGTTTTTTTTTTTTTAATCCCAATAGTTAACACCAATCAAATTATAACACCGATTAGAATCAACATGTCAATGTAAGGAGGTGCTCGTGTTATTTGATCAATTCAGGAGTATTATGTGAAATTTACATTAAGCTATAAATTACAAACTTTAATTTTATAAAAGGGTTAATTACAAAATACCCCCTTCAACTTTAGATAGTTTGTAACTCACTCTTTCATATTTTTATTTCAACAAATAGCTCCTTTTTAAGTTTATATATTTGAAAAATAAATAAATTATTAATAATAGATAGAGAAAGAAAATAAGGGGACAAAGAGATGGAGAAAACATAAGGGAGAGATAGTAACAGAATCTAATAAAATATTTACATAAATTGATTATTGATCAAAAATACATAATTTAAAGGAGAGTATGTATGTAAAAAATAATAATTTCATTTGAATTTTGTATCTAANGATATATAATTATTGATCAAAAATACATAATTTAAAGGAGAGTATGTATGTAAAAAATAATAATTTCATTTGAATTTTGTATCTAAACACAATATTTTTTTTATTAAAATTGAACACAATAGAGTAAACAATTTATCTATACACTTTTTTCTCAAATAAGTTTAAAAAATTATACCCACAATCAAAAAATCCAAGAAAATATNATATTTTTTTTATTAAAATTGAACACAATAGAGTAAAGAATTTATCTATACACTTTTTCTCAAATAAGTTTAAAAAATTATACCCACAATCAAAAAATCCAAGAAAATATTGGCTGCTTGTCAGCCACCACATGGCACTATCAAATATTGTTAATTTCTAACTCTAAGAAATAGTTCAAGTGGTAATATAAAAAAATTATAAAGTAGAATGTTCCAAGTTTGAATCTAGTCAATTACTTAGTGTTAGACCATGAAGAATTTACTCCTCATAAATACCTTAGCCTCGATATGAATTATCTATTTTTGACGGAATCAGAAAAAAGATTAGTTGAGGTGCGTGTAACTTGACTTAGACACTCCTGACCGTTGAAAAAAAAATGTACATTTCTAATTAATTTGTGTCATTTGTACAGTTGTAATTTTTTTTTTTTAAATACCAACTTGTGTATCTAACTACCAAATGTTGCGACAAATTTTATTGTATATAGACACCACATTGCATTAAGACATGGTGCCTTATAAGAGCATCTCTGATACTGTTCTCTATTCGAAGATTATTTTATAAAAATAGAGAGCATATATTTTTTTTACCAGCTTTAATAAGACTTGTATCCTAAGGGAAGAATATGCTATATAGTCGGTACATTTAATAAATAAAATAGAGAGTGTGATTGACTCACCAAATATAAAGAGCCTATTAGAGAAGAATTTTTAAGTGTTATAGCATCTCTATCAGGTTCTCTATTTCTACTCAACTCTATATTTTAAAAAGTGAACCACAAAAAATCAAACTCTAATAAACTCTTTATTTAGATTAACAAAAATAAAGAGCCTAATTTAGCTTTTGAAATTTAGAGAGTCAAACTCACTCTCTTTTCTATTTTTAATAAATAAAAAGATGACACATAGATTATTTATTATATGTTATTTATTATAAGCCTATTTTGCTATTAGTAGTTTGAATCAAGTCAAACTTAAGTTGAGTCCGAATATTTTGATTATCTTGCATATAAATTAGTTGAGTCTCTTTAAAAAATTATTTGAACTCGGTTCGTTTTTAAAATAAGTCAACTTCAAATAATTTAACTCAATTATCAATTTTATTCTAATTAAAATAGAAAGCACATTAAATAGAAATTACTATTTAAAAAATTGAGTGACAATAAAAAATCAAGTGCACCCCAGATTTTCTGGGAGTATAAGGAATCTTTGTGCAGCAGAACGTGGCATACCAACCGAGGTAGTCCCACACTGATGTGTCTTAACTAATTCAGTGGGACCCAAGGGCCCACACAGCAGGGAATCAAACAAATTCGACGTGGTACCCCTGGCACCCTGTCTGCCAGCCCATTAACTTTATTTTTAGGTTTTTTTTTTGTGTGCGTGGTTAGGTTGTGTTTCACGTGATGTAAGATAATTATGTCCCTAGCCTTAGTCATTTCATATACTAAAGTCCAATTTCTAATAATAATATTACAAGAATACTCGGGTCCCTCAATAATAATAAAAATGACATGTAAATTTGAATATTTAAAAATAATGGGGAATAGTGCACTGATAGATGAATTATATATTTAGATATTTTAAATTTCATAATTTTTTGAAGGGTAGACCACAAGTGATTTATAACTAATAAATTCGTTAATTTTAATGTGAATAATTTGTCTTAATCAAATTGAAGAAAAAATTAATCGTGATACACATAAATTAGTCCAAATAACCGTAAAACAAAAAAAAGGACACGTCCGCATGTTATGTTTGGATGGAATTCATAGTTTCACAGATGAAAGTGTAATTTTTGCCTAAAACGAACTACTCCTCTCATATCAACTACAAAAGCATATCAATTCCAAAATATTCCTTTACTTGAGAGTATAATTTGGGTGGGATAATTTGTATTCAAAAATTTTTAGTTAATTCATGGATAAAAATTTTAGTTACTGAATTTGTCGAAGACAAAAAAAAAATCGCTAATTGAACTTCAATTTGACCAATACTTTAATAAGATCGAGAGTTTTCCAGACTCAAATATTCGAGATTCAATTTGAGTCGTGTAATCTTGAGAGTCGGATTTGGATTTCATATGATTTGAACCCGGAATTCAACTCTTGTATAATCTGAGAGTCAAACTTGATTAAACTCTAATTTAGTTTGAAAGTCAACCCAAATTGCATAGATTAAACCCTAAATTATTTCTCAATCAAAGAGGTCAAACCGAGTTGCACCGTAATCAAGCTGACATGAACCATAATCAGATTCGGTTCACTGCTGGTAAAAGAAGTTCAAAGTTATTCACTTATTTATTCCCCTTAAAAATGAATATTCTAAAAGAAATCTCATTGAAAATGACACTTTCCTTCCCCGGCTTAAATCATTTTTTATTTTTTAGTACAATAGTCAAGAGTATTCGGGTTATCTTATATATATTTTGATTAATTTTATTGATGGTCCAGTCAAATGCAGGTTCTATCATTCTTAAGCTTATGTTATTATTTATGATATGCCATAATGACGGAATTAACCTTCATAAAAAGTTATTTGGGGATAGAACTGAAGGACAAATCCGTCCAACTAAATAAAAAGACACAAAATCCCTGCCATCATCCACCAAAGCAACGCACAGATTTACATGGAGCTTAGTGGCTTCAAAAGAACCGAAAAACCCGTGAATCCTCATTTATAAGGAGGTCTATCAACCAAGATACAAAATTAACATAAAATTAGTTAATATAGTTGTTTTCAATTAATTGGAAAAAAAAAAGAAGATAAATACGCAACGAATTAAACATAATCTACACTCGACACAAATCCGACCATAAAAAACTATCAATAGCCTAGGCATAAATCAAACAAATACTGATCGGCACAATATATTGTCAATCTTAATCTCGACATGCTTCATTATCAACCTAAATCTCAATAGCATGTTGGATTAGAAGTTTGAGTTAGCTTACAAATCACACACATACATTGAGACAGAGAGCGAGAAGCTTAGTACCAGATATTATACATGACAACCCTGAAGTGGGTAAGAAGAAGAGACAAGTACAAACCCTTAAGACACATCGTTAATTAACATTTACTGAAAAACTAAATATGATACATTTTGGTGTCTTTAACAACTACAAAATTGATCCAACCACAATACCTATTTACACAAGATAATAACCAAAACTGAACTTAAAGACTAACACTTAAAAACACTTCACCATTTACAAACAAACCAGCATGCTGAGACCTTCCAAAACCAAATCTATGGCACACTACTGGTGGCTGCACCAGCTCTATGCCTGGCAGCAAAGCGATTGACCAAAGCCAGTGCATTACTAGTGACCTTCCCAACATAAACTACCTTCTTCTTAATAGCAGCCTTCACATTTCCATCCATGGCATGACCAGAAAAGCCATCAAGGCAAGTGTTTTCGTCAGTAAGAGCAGCACTAACCCACGTTTGTACGTTGCTCGCATGCCACATGAAGTCCTGCCCACTGACCCGACCCATGTCGCTGAGCTCCTTGGCTGATCTGCGGAGCTGATCCACAGAATCACCCATGTTGTCAACGCAGTCTCTCACAGCTTGATAGACTCTAGGGTTGAGTCCTGAAGCTTTGAACATCTTGGAAACGAACATAGCTGTGGATCGAGCCCTGGCTAAGCTCACTGATAAGGCGGCTTGAGCCAGTTCACGCTCATTTTGCTGTATTTTGTCGGCGAAAGTTGACAGACAGTGAACACACACAGCAGGATAGAGAGTGGCTCTGCATGAGACCTTGATGAAGTCTGTGGCGCTGGGATTTTGGGGAACTGCAGATTCTGCCATGCCGGTGATGTAGTGGAAGAAGAAAAGTATAATTAGCAAGGAAAGACTAAGTTTGGCCATGTCTTTGGAGGAAGAGAAATGGCTGGTTTCAGTGGTTTGGGATAAAGTTTTAATCAGAGCTTGGAAGCTTTGTACCATATATAGAAGTACAAAAATCTCTCTCTCTCTCTCTCTCAACTCCTGGAAGCGCTCAGTAACAAAAGGTAAAAAGAAAAAAAAAAAAAATACCTATCANCTGAATTTGTCGAAGACAAAAAAAAAATCGCTAATTGAACTTCAATTTGACCAATACTTTAATAAGATCGAGAGTTTTCCAGACTCAAATATTCGAGATTCAATTTGAGTCGTGTAATCTTGAGAGTCGGATTTGGATTTCATATGATTTGAACCCGGAATTCAACTCTTGTATAATCTGAGAGTCAAACTTGATTAAACTCTAATTTAGTTTGAAAGTCAACCCAAATTGCATAGATTAAACCCTAAATTATTTCTCAATCAAAGAGGTCAAACCGAGTTGCACCGTAATCAAGCTGACATGAACCATAATCAGATTCGGTTCACTGCTGGTAAAAGAAGTTCAAAGTTATTCACTTATTTATTCCCCTTAAAAATGAATATTCTAAAAGAAATCTCATTGAAAATGACACTTTCCTTCCCCGGCTTAAATCATTTTTTATTTTTTAGTACAATAGTCAAGAGTATTCGGGTTATCTTATATATATTTTGATTAATTTTATTGATGGTCCAGTCAAATGCAGGTTCTATCATTCTTAAGCTTATGTTATTATTTATGATATGCCATAATGACGGAATTAACCTTCATAAAAAGTTATTTGGGGATAGAACTGAAGGACAAATCCGTCCAACTAAATAAAAAGACACAAAATCCCTGCCATCATCCACCAAAGCAACGCACAGATTTACATGGAGCTTAGTGGCTTCAAAAGAACCGAAAAACCCGTGAATCCTCATTTATAAGGAGGTCTATCAACCAAGATACAAAATTAACATAAAATTAGTTAATATAGTTGTTTTCAATTAATTGGAAAAAAAAAAGAAGATAAATACGCAACGAATTAAACATAATCTACACTCGACACAAATCCGACCATAAAAAACTATCAATAGCCTAGGCATAAATCAAACAAATACTGATCGGCACAATATATTGTCAATCTTAATCTCGACATGCTTCATTATCAACCTAAATCTCAATAGCATGTTGGATTAGAAGTTTGAGTTAGCTTACAAATCACACACATACATTGAGACAGAGAGCGAGAAGCTTAGTACCAGATATTATACATGACAACCCTGAAGTGGGTAAGAAGAAGAGACAAGTACAAACCCTTAAGACACATCGTTAATTAACATTTACTGAAAAACTAAATATGATACATTTTGGTGTCTTTAACAACTACAAAATTGATCCAACCACAATACCTATTTACACAAGATAATAACCAAAACTGAACTTAAAGACTAACACTTAAAAACACTTCACCATTTACAAACAAACCAGCATGCTGAGACCTTCCAAAACCAAATCTATGGCACACTACTGGTGGCTGCACCAGCTCTATGCCTGGCAGCAAAGCGATTGACCAAAGCCAGTGCATTACTAGTGACCTTCCCAACATAAACTACCTTCTTCTTAATAGCAGCCTTCACATTTCCATCCATGGCATGACCAGAAAAGCCATCAAGGCAAGTGTTTTCGTCAGTAAGAGCAGCACTAACCCACGTTTGTACGTTGCTCGCATGCCACATGAAGTCCTGCCCACTGACCCGACCCATGTCGCTGAGCTCCTTGGCTGATCTGCGGAGCTGATCCACAGAATCACCCATGTTGTCAACGCAGTCTCTCACAGCTTGATAGACTCTAGGGTTGAGTCCTGAAGCTTTGAACATCTTGGAAACGAACATAGCTGTGGATCGAGCCCTGGCTAAGCTCACTGATAAGGCGGCTTGAGCCAGTTCACGCTCATTTTGCTGTATTTTGTCGGCGAAAGTTGACAGACAGTGAACACACACAGCAGGATAGAGAGTGGCTCTGCATGAGACCTTGATGAAGTCTGTGGCGCTGGGATTTTGGGGAACTGCAGATTCTGCCATGCCGGTGATGTAGTGGAAGAAGAAAAGTATAATTAGCAAGGAAAGACTAAGTTTGGCCATGTCTTTGGAGGAAGAGAAATGGCTGGTTTCAGTGGTTTGGGATAAAGTTTTAATCAGAGCTTGGAAGCTTTGTACCATATATAGAAGTACAAAAATCTCTCTCTCTCTCTCTCTCAACTCCTGGAAGCGCTCAGTAACAAAAGGTAAAAAGAAAAAAAAAAAAAATACCTATCATCTTTTGAGATTAAATTAAAGCTTGTCACCTGCCTGCCTGCCATTAGCTCTTTCTTTCATGCACAAGCTTTTCTCTTTGTTTTTTTTTTTTTGAACCTTCTCATTTCATTCACCTCACCAGCAATTGGAGAGTGATAAATAATAATGCTTTTTCTGATATTATTTTATTATTAATGGCACTAAGTAGAAACTATTAATTCAATAATGTACATGATAAGAGAAAGTAGAACACTTATTTGATTATGCTTTTCGTAATAGTACAAATGCCTAAATTTTACCTACCTTGTGCGTGCTCTATGTGTAAATTGCAAGAGCTTGCATAACAGTTACTCGCGTATTCCAAGATCTTCAGATAACTCGTAACTAACAACAGAGAAAAAAAAAGGAAATTTGCCTGCCACTCATCAGTGTTAAAAGCTAGTTGTAGTCTCAAGAAATATACATATAACATGGGAACAACTTGCTATTAGTCAACGTGTATGGTCACGAAGGAAATTAATAATTAGATTGACAAATTTCAAAGCACAAGTCTGTAAGTTTTGAAGAAAGACTATGACCAATCTACTAAGTACAAAGGACAGGATAAGCAATTGAGAAGGGCTTTGGGGAGTGATTCCTGATACAGGTCAATGTGATATCAAGCAGTTGTCATTGGTTCATGATTTCAATGTACATAAAAAATGAAGATTTATAATACGATTCTGCCTTGATTTTCGGAAACTAGGCACAAAAATTTAGATGAATAGTCATCCTTTTGTTTGCTTTCATAATCAGCTAACAACTACAATTATATGCTATAAACAATGTTACATGGCAGTGACAAAGGTAAGTAGCCATGGTTACTTACTAATTTGTGGCTGTTAAGTGTCAGTGGATCTATTACTACACAAAAGGTCTGGACAAAACAGTTTTTAACCAATTTCATGCATTTATTTATGGAAAATACACGGATGTATCATCATGCCAATATATATTTACACTATTAGAAGTGATACATCAACTGTATGATCAATTACAAACAATCTATACCCTACAGGTAAAAGATGGAGTGCCCAAAGAGAATCAAGAGAGACTCCATAAAGAGGAATAAAAGAAAGAGCACCAAAAAATGTCATGTGAGAACATCTCAACTTTGATCAGGCTTGATCTTTTCTTACTTGGGAGTTGTTTAATTTCATGCACTTTTTTCCAAAATTCATGCACACGTGTACTATGTATTTCAGTGGTTGATTTATGTTGTAAATTTCATCAGATTAGTTAGTAATCTCCATGTTTAACTCATCATTTGTATATTCTAATCAGATTTTTTTACTAATCTCCCACAATTATAACAAGAAACCTATTTTTACTAGGCAAGGATGTAAATCTAAGTTGATGCCATGGTGTTTGCTCACATTTACACATGGAACCATACTGTAGAGCCTAGCTTTATTCATTTTTTTACCCACAAATGTCCAAACGTACCAATTTTTTATGCAGACATCACTGGTCCACCCCATCGATCCCCATTCATTTCATATTTGAATAGGAATCTAGTTTTCACACCTTAGTCCATGTAGTCATCCATATCCATATTTCCCTATTGAATACCTCCATGAGACATCTTCCCTTAATACAAGGGTGACATATTATGGTTTCATGCACTGCTGTCAAGTTCAGATGAAATTCAGAGTATAAAATTTGTTCAAAACTGTGACATGATGAGAATTGTAAGATTTGTCACCCGCACAAATTAAGGATCTCATTTCACTGTTGGCCATTAGGATAATCAATCCAGTTTTCTCACCTCAGTTCAGTATGGGGTCCTTTTTCTCCTTGTACATATGCAAGTTGATGAATATACCACACTGCAGCTTTCACAGTTCACTTCCCTTAAAGTTAAGCATCCTCAAGTCTTCGCACGACTGTTTCTGCTTTCATCTTCCCCAATCTCAAACTTCCTGCCAACTCCCACCGAACAACTCTTTGTGAGCAATTCAACCTAGTCCTTTGTAAGTTCATTACTAAATATTACCATGCTCTCGAGGTTTTTTTCAAGTGAACAACAATACACTAGATCAGAAGCCGTTAGACANGTGCGTGAGCAATTCAACCTAGTCCTTTGTAAGTTCATTACTAAATATTACCATGCTCTTGAGGTTTTTTTCAACTGAACAACAATACACTAGATCAGAAGCCGTTAGACAGGTTCCACAAATTCATTGTTCATTAAGCCACTAAGCAAGTGCAGGAGTTTACATCCAGAAAAAGATTTTAGGTGACAATGACGAAAAATTACAACTCGATTTGACACACATAATCACATTCAAACTGCCTTTGAACGCTCATATATCCCAATAGCTAAGGATCAAATTTTCGTTTCCGTGCATAGTTTCAGTCACTTAAGAAATAGAAATGTTTCAAAAACATTTTGAAAACAAAATCAAAATTTATTGAAACCTCTTGAATTACTTTAAAAAATCAAATCAATTGAGCGATGTACATTTAAAAAATATAAAACGTATGGAGTTGGTGAAAAATAGTAACNAATCGAAAAAAAGTTTGGGGATTGACTACGGCAGTTAGAAAAAGATAGTGTGAATGTCCTGAGCTGGCTTAACGAGTTTACAGCCCTTGGCGATGGATCAAGAGACTCATTCTGTTCCCACGGATGCTCTGTCCGGGAAGCAGAAATCAAGGACTTGAGAAATCATTTGAACAACAAAGCTGAGAGTTTCAGGGTCCTAAAGCGCCCAAGAGCCAATGAACACCCCCTCGATGGTCATTCCAGGAAGGCAAGACATTTGGCTTGGGACGACCTCCGGCGAAGCCTGTCAAGGCATGGGAAGGGGGATGAGTCCGAGGAGGATTCAACCCTTTTCACACGACNTGGCATAGATCGACACGTATCCCTCAATCAGTTTGGGTGCATCGGCCCCTAGTGACGCTGGACCCTCAACACCGAGGTATATTTGTCTACGAAGCATTTCTGCTCCTGCAGGGGCTACTGATTGACGTGTTACTAGCCTAGGTTAGGCTAGACTAGCTACCATGATATCGTTCCACTCAAATGGTGTCAGGAGGCACAAGAAGGCAGAAGACTCAACCAAAGGGGAATGGACACGTGACATATTGTGTCAGATTAGAGACAAAAAGACCTGAATGCCCTTGTTGACACACGGCTTGGGAGGTCAGGCATTTAATGCATCCTTCATTCGATGAGACAACATTTAATGCATAAGATCCTGGAAGTGAAAGGCAATAAATGTTCTTAATACCAGGGCATTTAATATATCCCTATCGAGAGAAGGTCATTAAACACTCGGCAGGCCGAGGATGAAGCATTGGTTGCTTGGGGTCTCGAGCAGTTAAGAAAGAGGACATTTCTCATAGAAATTAGTGTGCACGTTGCCCACCTCTAATGATCACCTACTGGCTATGCTGTCAACAATGATGAGTTTTTAAGGTATAAATAGTCCTCACAAACACATGACAAGGTACGCAATGACCTTTCCTCACATATATACACAGTGTTTTCTTTTTCTCCTCTCTCAAAGAATTGACTTGATCGTCGGAGGGGATACGCCGAAAAACACTCCGACGCTCTCCTAACTCATTTTTCTCTATTCCAGGAACCTCTTTTATCCTCACAGGACCATTCTGGTGACCCACAAGAGTTACTCATTATCGTTTCTCAGGTCATCTCTGGTCCTCACAACCTGTTCCAAGTAGTAAGATTGACCACTCGATCGAAAGACTCCTGCTCANTAGTCACTTAAGAAATAGAAATGTTTCAAAAACATTTTGAAAACAAAATCAAAATTTATTAAAACCTCTTGAATTACTTTAAAAAATCAAATCAGTTGAGCGATGTACATTTAAAAAATATAAAACGTATGGAGTTGGTGAAAAATAGTAACATATATATACGGTCGCTCTTATGAGGTCAAACTTTATATGTTTCTGATGGGACATTTTCAGACACTCCAAGATGACGACACGTGTCCTCGGTGTCATTGGATACTCGCCAATCAGATCACGACACGTGCGCGTCGGTCCATAATCCCCCTTCCCCCGAGGGTACTATTCACAGGGATCAAGGATCCCCTAGCATAGATCGACACGTATCCCTCGATCAGTTTGGGTACATCGGCCCCTAGTGACGCTAGACCCTCAGCACAGAGGTATATTTGTCTACGAAACATTTCTGCTCCTGCAGAGGCTACTGATTGACGGGTTACTAGCCTAGGTTAGGCTAGACTAACTATCATGATATCGTTCCACTCAAATGGTGTCAAGAGGCACAAGAAGGCAGAAAACTCAACCAAAGGGGAATGGACACGTGATATATTGTGTCAGATCAGAGACAAAAAGACCTGAATGCCCTTGCTGACACACGGCTTGGGAGGTCAGGCATTTAATGCATCCTTCATTCGATGAGACAGCATTTAATACATAAGACCCTGGAAGTGAAAGGCAATAAATGTTCCTAATACCAGGGCATTTAATATATCCCTGCCGAGAGAAGGTCATTAAACACTCGGCAGGCCGAGGATGAAGCATTGGTTGCTCGGGGTCTCGAGCAGTTAAGAAAGAGGACATTTCTCATAGAAATCAGTGTGCACGTTGCCCACCTCTAATGATCACCTACTGGCTATGCTGTCAGCAATGATGAGTTTTTAAGGTATAAATAGTCCTCACAAACACATGACAAGGTACGCAATGACCTTTCCTCACATATATACACAATGTTTTCTTTTTCTCCTCTCTCAAAGAATTGACTTGAT